TTGCCGGAAATTAGGCTGACTTCCAAGAATTACCACAAAGACATTATATTTCAAAGTGAGTTGTGCAACGTACCAGTGCAAAACTGCTGAGAAACACAGTGGCAAGAATAAACCACTCGAAGTACTTTTTCTCTACTAGAACCCGCACCCTGCAGCGAAACTTGAGCCAACAGAAGCGTCTTGACGAGAAAGGTTTCCACAGCGGACAGTCCATGCAGTACTCTGGCAGACAGTCATCTATTTCCATCATGTACCGGGTGGGCTTTGTAGCCGATAGACTGGCACCTTGCTCTGAGATGGGGTCCTCAGTGCCCATAATGTATTGACTGGTTGACGTAGTTGATGGGACAGAGTCCTTCTCAACAGCGGTTTCAGTCGTGATAATGTTTTCACTTTCTAGGTCAATCTTGCTCTCTGAAAAATATGTGTAAGAATTGAATAAATCGATAAATAAGGGTCAAATAGTTGTCTCTTTTGACATCTGTTGCGACCTTTGGCAATACTGTGCATTACGACCCAAATAACTGTTGACAAGGATACCATTGGACACGAAGGTAAAATACAGATTTAAAGTAGTTTTTTTACAAAAAGAATCAAATACAGACTCTATCCTGTTCAAATCTGGCAACGTAACGGTAAGACTGAAAAGCAAGTACATTATTTGCCAAACGTAGTGACACACTCTTTTTGTATTGGTCATGGTACTGAAAGGTAATAAAATTCAGTTGGCGTACTAGAGTTGTCAATAAATTCTTAGCTGAACTGAGCGCGGTGAACATCTAATTTGTCTTTGCAAATATTTACATATCGTCTAGCAGACAGTTAATGACCTTTAATAGAATAATTCAGGAATTCAATGGTGTTTTTTTTGGTGGCGGGGGGCGGGGGGGAAGCTTGTCACCGGCTGAGTGATATCACTGGAGGTTTTGCGAAACTGCATATGTGACCTCTCACGCGAAAACGTACCCTAACGGTCAAAACGAACGGCTAGCGAACGGGTCGTCAGTGATTTCCATCATTCACATTTAAGCTCAAATTCACGAGATTTGGTCCTCAGCTACCTCATTCAAGCAACCAATACGTCTCAAAACATCGCAAATCGCTATAAATGATCACTTTGTCTAGCCGAGGCATACCACCCTCAGGTCACACCATTCTGGTTAACAGTCCTTTACATCATTCTATAAGCTGTGTGTTAAGTTCCCTTCACAATTTTTCAAATTCTTTTTCTAACAGTTAGGACCCGCCCCAGGAAAACTATGGTCAGCAATGCCGGCTCACTGACCAAAATTTTTCTTTACAGAAAAACACATTGCGTAATTTTGTGCTCTATTGTTATTTTTTCATGTATACTAAATCAACTGAGGGCATGTCACCTTCACGAGTAGCGCTGGGAGATTCTGCATGATGATGCTCTGAATCGGATATCGCCAACTGACCATCGTCTTTCACTGGACAGCAGCTGCTCTCAAGAACCTGTAACTCGTACAGACGAAAAGGTTCACGGTACTTGGCTACAAACAGGCGAGACTTGCGGGTTCGGAATACTTTCTTTATGGAGCACCTTGATGGATTCTCTTCCGACTGTATTTCTTCGTTTGAATCATTATCAACCTCTCTGAAGTCAAACGCGTTTACTAAAAGCGCCACAAATAAATTGAGAACCTGAAAAATGTAAGCCAGAAAAATTGTTTCATTTGACCGATTTAACAACTCAGTCCTTTAGACCGGTCGGTCCGTCAGTTGGTCCGTCCGGTCCATCAGTACATTGGTCAGACCGGCACGTCATTCAGTAAAGCGAACAGGATATGAGAAATCGCTTGTTACTCTAAATCAAATATTAAGAATCAGCCCTGACTGCAAAACTTGGGCTTAAAGGTCGCAAAAAGAAAAGGAAGTCTAAAAAAATCAATAATTATTATGTTCGAGCGCGTTGCTTTAACTGCCTTGACTATAACTTTGAATGGAGGGAAAAGAGACTGATCTATCACTGGTTCATGTTTGGCTCAATAATTTATCAATAATTAGCAATTAATATGTTATCAGACGGTGTCTGGAAAGCTTTTTTTTTTAAGAATATAGTCTCAAAGAGTTTGGTCCTAGAATTTTTAAGTTTATTACTCACAATGAAATTTCCAACGATAAGAACAGTTAGGAAGAACAGTGTTGCCTTAGCGGCACTGGTGGCCCTCATGCAGTCCCACAGAGGCTCAATCCACTCTCCACATAGCACTCTGAACACCATCATGAACGCGTGCCAAAAGTCATTGAAGTTCCAGCGAGGTACACCGTCCTTTCCAAACTTGTCTGCCGTGTAGGCCTCACCAAATATCTTTATTCCAAGCACAGCAAATATGTAAATAACCACGCTGAGTATAAGCGTTATATTGCCAACCGGACCTACGCTTCTAGCGATGGCCTTCATCAGTCTTTCCATTGTCTTCCAGGACTTGGCCAAACACAGCACACGCACCTGTAGAGGATAAATTGTTTTGGTATTTATTTGCGGTGCAAGTTGTAATAAGGTCACCCCAACTGACGAAGTAGCAGCCACTGATTTGCTAAACAACAGGCAGGAATTCGGCTACATTGACCATTTACCAAACGTTCATCACATTATCACTACTGACGGCGTAGCGTGGAAGTATAGTTTTGTTCCGGTATATCGGGAGGTCAAAAACGCAGTTAAATTTTGAATCTTTCTTACTAAGATAAAACTGGATCCAGACAACGATTTGAGAAAAGGTCTGGATTTTGCAAGAATATAATACTGCTGTTAAATTACTCTGAACAACTCCTATACTAATCATTTTTGTAAGTGCACCTTTACTTGCATTTATAGCCGATGAGCTGTGAGCTGTGAACCTGACTGCCGTAGCATCACCACGTAGGATATGAATTCGGAATTGCAAGTTACGCCGGCCTTATGAGCGTTTTCAAACCAGATATACCGGTTAAACTTATGTTCTTACCAGTCGTAAAGTTCGAAAGATGCTGAGTCCTTCGGCAGATTTATAAAAGTAACCCAGCAAACTCCCTGAAACAACAGTGGTATCGAACACATTCCATCTGCTGCGAATAAATGCCATTGGTCCCATAGCAACCAACCGAAATACGATCTCAGCTGCAAATAACGCGGTAAAAACCTGAGTGTTGAAAAGGAACAGGTAGGGGTAAATAACAACAACAACGACGACGACGACGAAAATATCAGCAACATTAGTAACAACAGCAACGGTACCTCTGTCAACAAGAACATGCTCAATTATGATTAAATCATGAACACCAACAACGACAGACAGACAACAACAACAACATTACAGGGACTGCGGAGGGGAGGGTCCTGTAGGTCTTTACATGTAGATCTACCACTTTTTTCTTGGGTGGATTTTTCAGGACTCCATATGACATGGATAATGGCGCGCAAATGCATGGTAAATGGTGACCTCCAAATGTTTGTCTGTCTTAGTCGGATTTGTTATGCATACCGCTTTAAAATAGTATCCGCGGTCCCTGCATGGAAAACAACAGCAAAAACAACACACTGACAAGCGAGAAAATCAATAGCAGCAACAAAAGCAGCCCATCAAACAAACTTGATCTTTAAGCCATATCAATCGCAGGTTTTCTGACCATTGTTGATGGCGCAGTAATTAGCAAGATGACGTAGTACTTATTACGAGATCAATACCAGAATTTAAGATCCAATTGCTGCAACCTATTCCAGTCTTTAAATAATGGTTCATTTATGACAGTTCCCAGCGTTTTGGATTGTGTTTCCACACAGTACGCTGAATGTTTTGACACAACATGAAGTTCTTTTTCACTGATCAAGCTATATGAAGTGTTCTGTCAGAAAAAGAACTTAAATACAGAAATTATCCATGCACCGCGATTTTTTTTGCGAAAATATTCAAAGGATTAATGGCCATTTTGCATTGTTCTTTGCAAAACGGTTAAAACAAATTAATCAAGATTTAAAGCGCACGGGAAGAGCTAATCCTCCTCTCATTACACATTTTGTCTGGTGACGTTCTCGTTGGCGCTGCCTTTGAGGTTTGCTTAAAAACCCATTAGCCGAAGTATACATTAACTTACCAAGTTCACATTGTCCAAGATGTGTCGAAACTGTGGGTCAATCCCATGATGATATACCGCTAGCACTATTGTGTTCAACAGAATCAGCACCACAATAACGGCATCAAAACCAGGATGGGCAGTGATGTCACGCATGCGCTGTCGTATTGTTTTAAAACAAGAATCTTGGCGCAAGACAACCCTGCACTGTACTTTCCTAATCCCTAAGCCATTCCTTCGTGCGCATACTGGTATTAGACAATGGCGTAATTGTGTGTCTTTAACTTCGTTTGCGTTGGATGTAGAATCCGTAGAGTCTCCTTTTGCGGTCTCTTTGTCTAGGGCGTCAGTTGTAAGCACAGGCGGAGAGCTCCCATCCAGGGTAACCAGATGTTTAAGTGTCTCTTCGTCAGCTTGGTAAGAAGGGGCAGTCCGTCTCATATAATTCTTTTTTTCCCTCTAAGGTTTTGAAATCCATTGAAAACATATGGTAAGGTTTGCAGAATATTATAACCAACAAAGAGGTTATTTTAAGAAATAGAACGTTGGAACTTGGTCTCGGAGGTTTCAAACTCAACCTAATAGGTTTGGGGTAATCATGAATTCAGTTTTAAACTAAAAGATTCATCTACAAAAAGCATGAATAAAAAGTTTCTTCTCTTCCAATTTCTTTGCTCTTTAAAAATGCCTTACTTTGTTAATTAAAATCCTTACAGATGCATCGACCCGTTGTTGATTAGATTTTTTTCTATAGTAATCAAAAGCTCACAAGACACAACGAGCTACCTCTTTCTCCGCGGAACACAGTTCCAGTTCATACGACAGATACACCACTGCCAACACCAGATTCATCAAGTAAAATGAACAGAAGAATATTCCAATTATGAAATATGGAACGTACAGGGCTCCAGAAGACCTGATGATCTAGGCAAAACATCGAAATAACGTTGTTAGAAGCAATGGCCAAACAATTCGTGCGTTGAACTGGTCCGGTCTCGAGCACTGGTCGAGGTCATCGTGCAGTGCACACTGTGCAGTGCGCATTGTGCATTGTGTGTTGAGTTGTGTTCTCGGTGGCAAGACTTTACTCTAGAGCACATGCCTTCCTGTGTAATTGTGGCACTGATTGGTAAAGGAGATTAAAGCTATCTTCGTGGTCAAAGACGAACAATAATTACGTCTCGACTGGTTTGATAATGATTGTGACTTCCCTAGATTATTTCATGATATTTTCTTCCCGAAGCGTTAGCCCTGGTAATATATATTTTTATATATTTTCCTATTTAGTAATTGCAGGAGCTATTAAGACTGGAGACCTTCAGTGTGAGTGATCCTAAGAAAAACCATCGTTTTTTGAATTACGAGAAAGGAAATAATCAAAACTTTCATGGCCTTAAAGCACATGTAAGTATGGCTCGGTAAAAAAGAAAATGGTATTAAGACAACTAAGTTTCCCGCGAGAACGCTCTCTGTCAAAATGATTATTTTATTAATAAATGACTAAAAGTTGAAGACGGGACTCAATCCCAAAAAAGAAGGGAACAACCTCAAATTCACATTGAAGGGAAACCAATAGCTTACGCCAGTTGACGAAAGACGAATAAGAAATTCTCGCCGAGTTCTCGCCCTGAGTGCTGCTGGCACTCTACTTATTTTTTTTCCCTACAGGTTGATAAAAATACCTTGTCATAAAGATTTTCCCAGAAATCCATCGTTAGTATCTGTAGAGCCATGACTAATGACCAACCAATGTTGTCAAATGTCGTGTAACCATGGTCAGGGTTTGGGCCAGCATTGGGCATGCACGTGTAGTTAGAAGGACAAGATCTAAAGCGCAAAGAAAGAAAAAAGTAACAAAAAAAAAAAAAAAAAAAAAAGACACATAGGATCAGTTCAACCCAACGGAAGTCAATTTGCACTATTCATAACTCAGGGACACAGTGAGAAAAAGAAACGGACCTAATAATTTTATAGAATTCAAGACAATTAAAGAAGCGCAATTTTCGAGTTTGGTCATTCACAGCTAGACTACACGGATAAAAGAATGTTTAAAATCTAACGCACTACTTCAAGCCGGATACTAATAAGAAAAATAAGTACAAGAAATCCGTAAGTGAGAGATACTTCTACAGCTTAGATCACTAACTTGTAGAAAGACATATATTATATTGTGGAAAGACATATAGTACCCAGCAGTTGAGCTGTTCCCACAAATCAAAGGTTCGTCGCCATGAATTAACCAGAAACCTGCAATAGAAAATTTTCTAGTTAGTTTTCATTTCACTATTCGCCATTCGCCATTCGCCATTCGTTGATACAGAAAAGATAACAGGTTGCAAGAGAAGATAGCTCTCTTTATTTAGTTCATGATTGGTTTTGTTTTGCATGTGATTGACCAAAAAATATATCTTTTTTTCTTCTGTGATAACGGTATATATAGAGTATATATATATATTTTACATGATAACGTCTTGCCAATTTTTGAACTAGCCGCATGGTCCATCATTCCTGGAGGTACACAATGCTGTTCCCTTTCCTCTTGCTTTCGCTTCTGTTTCACTTTTTGTTTCTGTTTCTGATTTAACTCAAGCTTGTTGATCACAGGGCGTTTCAGCAGTTTCTTGAACCAAGTTCATTTAACGATTAGGTAGAAATACCCTCTTGCGAATTTCTCAACTACCTGGTGCGTATTTTGTAAAAGTGCACACTGCTCTTCTCATTGTTCCTGCTCTCGCTTGTTTCTGTTTCTGTAGCTATTTAAACTAATGATTAAAGGTTGTTTTATGAGTTTCCTGAACCGAAATTAGTAATAAAAGAGTAGGTAGAGAAAGTATTTTCTAAAGTGAATCTATATGATACCATTTTCTTACTTTCGTTAAGGGCTCGTTCCTGCAGGTTTATTGAGCTGTTGTCTGGAACATTGAGAACGCACTTGTTCCTTAATTCTCCTGAAAACAGCTGTAGCCCAATAAGCGCCATGACACCGAGAAAGAACAGAAACAAGACCAGGACATCACTCAAAAGCTTCAATGAACGAAGTAGCGTGTTTACCATCGCTCGGAGACCTGCAAAATATATGAATGCAATACATTGTCCAAATTGAGTGCACGAGACATGAAAAAGACTGAGTGAAGTATATAGAATCAACGTGGAAAAATGAAATAGTTTTTTGGAACGGCTGAGCAGCAGTGGTTGCTCAATCGAAACTCAACACAATGCAAACCACGATTTGTCCTTAGGGCATGAGTTTGTGCAAGTTTAAAATTCGTCAATCTTCAAGGTTGGAAATAGTCGTCAACTAGAAGATACTGTCTTAATGCAACACAACCTTACAAAACTTGAAATTAAAAGAATTTATTTTCATTTATTATATTTTAGGGCAGTGTTCAAAAAATTGTCGAACGTAATCAGGCAATTACTTTGGTTTGGCTTTGGCTTCACTACGGTTTAAGATTGGCTGAGTAGTCTAATTGGTAAGTAATTGATTTGGTTTGGTTTTACGACATGCAATTGAAAACCGCTCTATCAAAATGAGTCCAAAAATGTTTTGCTAAACGTTTAGTTGTTGATTTATTATACTTAAGCATGTACGAACTGCATGCCAGTTGACTCCATCAGTGATAATTTATTGCTTCACAAATACACAAAATAGCACCCTCGACGGATCAGACTCAGCGAAAGATGTAAAATAACTCAAACTGAAAGATAAGCTGCTCCTGATAATTAAATTTACCCTTCAAAGCAGAAAACGTTCTCAGCGCTCTAAGGACACGAACTGTTCTGATTCCTGTCAAGTTGGCGATGTTTGGCGCTACGGTGATGTACCTACGGAAACAAGTTTGGAAACGACGTTTCTTAGGGATCGATGATCTAGATCAGGATCAGTGATCCAAGATCACTTAGATAAGGAAGTCGACGAAGGAGCTGATGAACCCACTCTTGTGAAGGATTTATCATTCCCCTTGATGCAGCCTGATCCGAGTGATCTTGGATCACTGATCTTGACCCGGATTCCAAAGGAACGCACCCTTATAAGTTTGCTGTTTCTGGATGTCAATGTAACAGGATATTTACAAAAGCCTCTTATAAAAGTTTGGGTTTTTTTAAATTGAATGTGTTTTATTTTTAAGAACAGTTCTCCAGGAAAGTGAAACAAAGTTGGAAATGAAAATATTTCNATATCTATGTAAGCTCTGGTGCTAATTTGTTTTTTTGGGAAAGAGTACCTTCGGAGAAATTACGAATATGGTTGTGCTCGTTTTTCCTGCTTGTTTAAATGGCTGACAAAGAACATAGTAAGACGAGCATTTTCTTCTTGTTTATAAAACCCAAAATACTTTAACGGCGAATTTTATAAACTGGAAGAGTGGTTCTACCATCTGTATCAATTTCATTTGCATTGGTTCCCATGCTCCCGAGAACCACACTCGTTTACTTTTACTTTGTGAGAGGGGAACTTTTACTCAAAACATGATCCTGAGGCCGACGTTAGCTAGTGCGGTTACCATGGCAACGATTCATCTGCCGATCCAAATATGGTTGTTTTTGTTTATCCCCCAAGGTAACCTACCTCCACACAAAAATTGAAGAGGGGTTAAAATTTTTCATTTCCAACTTTGCGGAAATTTATTTAGTTCTTGATATTTTCAGCTCAGTAATAAATAAGTTATTCGCGACTTTTGAGACACGGAAGATTTAGGGCTTTCACTGATCAGAATTGCCAAAAATATCGACACTTCGCCTCTCTTTACTTGTTTAACTCTCTAATTATTTTACCGTACCAGCTGACCGATCTTTAAAATAATGTTTATTTCAGAAACGATAAGATAAAGTCATTGTCTAAAAATGACCAGGTTCCGAGTCGTCTTTACATAACAGATGTCCTTAACCAGCCAGGTAGACTGACCTTGCGGCTTAACCAATCAGATTGTGCTTTTACCTGATGGTCGGCCAATAAGTTATACCGCCTGCTAGCCGCGCGATTAGGAAACGAGGATAAGTAGTCTGATTCGGAAGACAATCCTATGAATATGAGTAGCCCAGAAACTACCACTAAATAAATTTTTGAACCAAAAATCCAGATAATTTTTCCTTGTTCTCTCAGTTTCCGCGTTCTATCAAAGAACTCAACAATGCGAAAACCAATCAGAATCGCGGATTTCCAACAATTTTATATCGCACTAGTGGCGAATTGACCGTCATAAGGTGCAATTGGAATGCAACTTACCCCAGAACAACTACAATGAAATCCAACCAGTTCCACGCGTCTCTAAGGTAAGCGTATGTGTGAAAGATAAATCCACGGGATAAGATCTTTAAAATCATCTCCAGGGTGTATATACCACAGAAGACGTATCTAAGATAAAACAACCAAGTCAGTTGTAAGAAGTAAATTGCGAGTTCTTCGATGCAAGTTTACGTCTATTGTATCTAAGTTGCAAAAATTACAGCGTTTGAGACAGGCCTGGAGCTCGGCTCACCAAAGTTCTTTCTGATATAATTGCCCTCATACTGATAAAGTGGCTTGCTTGAGAGTTTTTCAGGACCTCGTTAAAATCGTTCTAGCAGTGTCAATGGTTAACTTGCGACAAGTCTGAACCTGTTGCAAACTTTTTTATATTAAAACTGGTTGGTTTGTTGAGGAGTAATTGGCAACTGCGTTAGATAAGGTAAAAGAAGTCTGCATACGTAGGAGCCAAGTGGCCCACCAGACCGGAGCTTATCCCGGTTTCTGTAACATGAAGCGACTAGGAGTATTTCTACTCTCCCCTGAATGGGATGCAAGTCCATCACAGGGTTACCCCCCAGCATTAAGTTCGCCGGTACCCATTTATACACGTGGGCGGAGAGAGGTACTGTGAGAGTAAAGTGTCTTGCCCAAGAACACAACACAATGTCCCCGGCCAGGGCTCGAACCCGGAGCGCTCAATCCGGAGACGCGAACACTAACCATGAGGCCACCGCGCCTCCCATTTACGTTAGAGGCCGAGTTTAAACAATTTTTCAGGGCTTACTTTTCGACAGACAACATGCTTTTGGGATGGCAGTGCAAAAGTGAACTTAATGTTTGATTTTGAGTCCACAAGCGTTTGTTGTTTGTGATGGTGAGTACATTAGCTTCTTTCATGAAAAGAAAATATGTTTTGTTTACTTACTCAGCTTCTTCTGGAGCACATTCAACCACTAGAAACACACAGTTAGCCAGAATGGTGAGAATAACGAACGACTCAAAATATCTACAATCAGAGTTAAGGAATAGGAATCAAAACCCACTGAATGGTTTGCCAGCATGTGAAGCAAAACAAAAAATATGAACAAAAATAATGGCAAACTTGTTTTTACTTCCGACAAACACTAAAATAAAATTGAGTGTTCTCATAATCGAAAACTGGCAAATAAATACATATTTAATATCGCCATTGAAGGGATGACTTGAGGGCTTTGAGGTTATTTAAAGGATACCTGTTAGTAACGACACTTATCGCAAACTGCCTGAAGGGACTGAGAGGTCCCAACAGACCTAACGAGGCTGCCTTGTTGAATCTGTACACGTGATCAGCACGAGAAGCCCCACGACGGCGAAGGACAAGATAAGTGTGATTGCAAGGGATCTGCGGAAAGAAAAGAAATATGAAATGAAGTAGGCTCCCTACCTCTCAAAATTGCGATTCTATGACAATGCGGTTTCGAGAAGCACTGGTGCACTCTTGGCACGACATGCATTCCATGCCGATAAAATCTTCAGACGAAGTGCGGAATAAATGAGAGATGAAAACGGTTAGTCTCGAAAATAAAGATAGAATGTCTTGCCTGCCAAACCTGAGTCTAAGAGATAATTTTAAACCGGGAAGGTCCAAGGGCACACGTTCCCTGCGGGTAAAGCGAGCGGAAATTCGTCATATCTTCCTTGGGCTCGGCGATTGAGATTTCCCAGAGGCTTCATGTTTGACTATCTGAAGTACGTTGATTTTCAAAGCCATTCTTATCAAAGATAATCATTCTCGTACATTAATGAACTGATGTCCAAAGAGTAATCCATAAAAACAGGAGAAGATCAATTTAAGTACGCTGATATTCTCATAAATAGAAACTAGCCTAAATTGTCTACACAGAAGGCCGGCAGTACAAATGCCAAAAGTTCTTGCGGGCAGAATAGGTTTTTTTTTTTATTTTTTTACGTTCACATAATTATTATCTTAGCAGTTACACGTTGACTTACCCTTCCATTGCTGGCGTCATAATCCTTCAGCGGCTTCCCAATAAAAAACGAAGGGGCCCGAGCCACGCTAGTACTTTCAGGACCTTCATCTATGATCACACCTGGGTCCTCAGTCTCAGTCTCCATTTCCTCTTCCTTAGAACTTGAATCAAACTTAACCCTTTTTGTTGAAGGCCCTTGGCGGTTTGAAGTATTTGTTTGGCCCTTTTTATCAATACCCTTTATCGCGGCTCCATTGGGAGTCTTCCCTGCAACTCAATCATTGACAAGTAGACTAAGATCACCCTTAGAGGCGTTTTTCATTCGACCAAAAATTCCGGTTTTTATTTCCGGAAATTTTCAGTGGCGAATAAAAAATAACAGCATTTTTCACAATTTTCGGAAAAGAAGACAACCCCCTTGGGTTATACGCAAATTTCTGAAAATTTCTTCCCGGGAATTTCTGTTCCATAGAACTTTTATTCTAGAGCTTCCGGAATTTTTGGTTGAATTGTTTGCATTTCGGAAATTTAACAATATTCAGATTTTCCGGAAACTTTGCAAGGAAATTTCTGAACCATCTGCTTCCCGTTTCAAAAATTCCGAAATTTTTCGGTTGAATGAAAAGCGCCCCTAGAAACGTAAGCATTTTAAATATCAGATACGACTTTTATTACCCAAAACGATTTTTAAAATCTTAAGAATAAATTGACTTCCTTTGTTCGCATGATGACGCACGCAGTGAGAATCAGCGGGCACATAAACATTACAACCCAACAAGCAAATAATAGCTTTAATATGAATTAATTATACGCTACTTTGTAATGTATTCAAGCAGGATTTAAGATTGCATCATGCAGAATTGAAGCAAAGAGAATTCTACTTCATAGTTCCGAAGACTTACAAAGCATTACAAAATTGTTTTCAATAATTCCTCCTTTGCGATTCGACTAACATGAGTTCCAACGCTAAGAAAGTAGTTATCTGCACGAGACATAACACTAACGGATCCTTTTAGGGGGGCGACAATAATGGCAATAAACGATTAGAGGAAATCGCGATAACGATGACACTGACCACAGTTGCCGATTATAAACAGGAAGAGTTCAACACGAGTTTTAAGTACTGAAAGAATGTACCGACTAAATGTGTAAAGGAAACTAACTCGTATCGTTTGGTACATATTTTTGAACTAAAAACCATGATTGAGGTTCTAACCAACCAGAAAAACCGACACAACTATAAGCCTGTCATAGCAGAAAAGTCGCCTTCAAAGTCAGAAGAACTCTGCCAAATGGAATAATAATAACAAAAACTTTAAGTAAGGTTGACAAGTCGACACAACATAGTAGCTAAGCAGCTGTGTCGTTTTCGCTTGTAATAACATTCATGCGATGTAGTCGCTACTGAGTTCAATCGTGTAGAACCAATTTCTTTTTACCGAAATAAAAATTGATGACTTTAAAATGCAAAACAAACTGACGGGTAAGCAGTATTTCATTTTGGAGGTTAGACAAGGAAATAAATCAGCTTTGTTGCTGAGGATAAACGTTGAGTTAATGTAAAAGAGAAAGTACAAGAAAACATATCAAGACAACAAAAGTTTAGCAGGAGGACTTAAAAGATAAAAAATCCGCAGAAAAATCTTTTGCGAGAGAAAATATAAGGTGTAAATGGGTTTTCTTTGATCGCGATATTCTTACGACATGTGCTGCAAATATTAACATAACATATAGGATATATAAAAACTTCTACATAAAGGACAAGTTCGTGATTTTTATACTCGTTATTTGGTGCTAATTCGGACGAGCAGATTACTATAGCATTACGAAAATGACTTTAATAAAAACGCTTGTTAAGCGTTTTGATATAGAACAGCGTTCAAATTCATAACGGGGAATTATCCAAGGTGAAAGATAAGAGCATTGAAAAGAAGTATTTTCTCAGGGAGTTAACCTGATATTTGACGAAACATCTTGTCGCTGTTTGTATCCGTGCATGGGTTTTAGTCTTACACCGGAGCACGCTATATATTTGCGGTCTTTTGTTTCCAAATATTAAAATTTCATGAGAAAAACATCAATATACTAAAATTTCCCACCTGCTGATAAAACCTCTTCCCATTTTCCGCGTCTTGTTGGAGCCTTCGTGTACGGGAAGCAGTGTTTGGAAGCAGCGAGCATTTTCAAACAACTATTGCAATTCATAAGTTTCAATTCAGTCTGGAGACCTTAAGTGACTGGTCAGTGTCATTTGGCAAAATTTCCTTGTACGTGAGACTTTCACGGCACAATAATCATAACTTATTTATTCGGTTTTCGGGCGATGATATCGAATGATTGTTATAGCATTGTGTTCCCGGTTTGTGAAATATCAATAGAAGTGTAGACTATACGCCAAGAGAAAGGATTTTCTTTTGATTCGCACGCATATGACTCCAAACTGAAGTTTGATTGTTTTTAGCTGTCAAGTGCCCGCCTCTATAGGCGGTAAATAAATTGCTTTTCGATACTCATAATTTTTCGTTTACCTAAGGTTTGAGTGCCTTAAATTGACATATTTATGCTAAAATGCGACTTCATCGTTAGAATAAATCGAACACCAACGATAAAAAAACGGACCGTTCTTCCACCTAGATAACAGGAATATCCAATTGGAACCTAAACTAATAATACCTTTAGTCCTTTCATTCTAAGCTCGCGAAAGAGTAAATTTATTTTGAGCGACTCTGCAATCGAAAGCCAATACAGTTTAATCAGCTTCACAAACTAGGGCGAGCCTACCGATTACAGGCGCGAAGAAATATATAATTGTTTGTTCTACGCACCACTGGTGTAGAAAAGAAATCTGTTTCTTTATATTTGACGCTTAAGAAACCTAAACACAAGAATACCACCAACCTATGAGGGAGCTTTTCACGAACATGATGGCGTCGAGAAACAAGTTCCAAGACTGCAGTCCTTCTGGAGTTGTTTTTTTTTTTTAGTCCAAGTGATTTCACATTCTTGGCGAGTTACAAAATGTGAAGTGATTACTGCCAGGAGATTGTTGTATTTCTTCAGACCTCCTACTAGCTCGTGGGCTCATAACTTATTGATTTTAAACATGATGTCTGGTGGCAAATCAACTCATTACACACCAATGCTATCCTTAGGGCCCTCCCCTTCGTTTTAACAATACGGAAAAAACAAAAAAAAAAACTAATGGGGCCCGCAAAGGCGTTTAATATTCATCAAACATGAACCCAAAATTGAGGCAATTCTTACCAAGACTAAGATCTTAAACTGTTCTAAATTTGTGTGCAATCGTTTCTTTTCTATTTTTTCGCCGATATTATATTAGATGGTGTTAAACCAGCATCACTAAATAAGATAGTATGTGAAGATAACGCGACCAGGAAGTTGTATGACAGTACAGCGAGGGCTTCTGCAATTTTAGCGACTACGGAAAGAAGCGAAGCGCAAGCTAAAAGAGCTTGGAATAGGCGAGAATTGACATCAGTTTCAGTTTAACAGGGACTAAAACTCTTGTTGTTTATCGTGAAGGTTTGACCAGGTTTAAATCTGATGAGAGCCCACGAGAGTCCGAGTAGGAGTGCATCAGAATTAGTGGCCATCATGACCGAAAAGCGAGATAGTTACTCTGTTGACAACTCTCACAGACTCACAGACTGATAAACAAGGTTCGGATGTACTGGTNCCCAGAAACTACCACTAAATAAATTTTTGAACCAAAAATCCAGATAATTTTTCCTTGTTCTCTCAGTTTCCGCGTTCTATCAAAGAACTCAACAATGCGAAAACCAATCAGAATCGCGGATTTCCAACAATTTTATATCGCACTAGTGGCGAATTGACCGTCATAAGGTGCAATTGGAATGCAACTTACCCCAGAACAACTACAATGAAATCCAACCAGTTCCACGCGTCTCTAAGGTAAGCGTATGTGTGAAAGATAAATCCACGGGATAAGATCTTTAAAATCATCTCCAGGGTGTATATACCACAGAAGACGTATCTAAGATAAAACAACCAAGTCAGTTGTAAGAAGTAAATTGCGAGTTCTTCGATGCAAGTTTACGTCTATTGTATCTAAGTTGCAAAAATTACAGCGTTTGAGACAGGCCTGGAGCTCGGCTCACCAAAGTTCTTTCTGATATAATTGCCCTCATACTGATAAAGTGGCTTGCTTGAGAGTTTTTCAGGACCTCGTTAAAATCGTTCTAGCAATGTCAATGGTTAACTTGCGGCAAGTCTGAACCTATTGCAAACTTTTTTATATTAAAACTGGTTGGTTTGTTGAGGAGTAATTGGCAACTGCGTTAGATAAAGTAAAAGAAGTCTGCATACGTAGGAGCCAAGTGGCCCACCAGACCGGAGCTTATCCCGGTTTCTGTAGCATGAAGCGACTAGGAGTATTTCTACTCTCCCCTGAATGGGATGCAAGTCCATCACAGGGTTACCCCCAGCATTAAGTTCGCCGGTACCCATTTATACACGTGGGCGGAGAGAGGTACTGTGAGAGTAAAGTGTCTTGCCCAAGAACACAACACAATGTCCCCGGCCAGGGCTCGAAACCGGAGCGCTCAATCCGGAGACGCGAACACTAACCATGAGGCCACCGCGCCTCCCATTTACGTTAGAGGCCGAGTTTAAACAATTTTTCAGGGCTTACTTTTCGACAGACAACATGCTTTTGGGATGGCAGTGCAAAAGTGAACTTAATGTTTGATTTTGAGTCCACAAGCGTTTGTTGTTTGTGATGGTGAGTACATTAGCTTCTTTCATGAAAAGAAAATATGTTTTGTTTACTTACTCAGCTTCTTCTGGAGCACATTCAACCACTAGAAACACACAGTTAGCCAGAATGGTGAGAATAACGAACGACTCAAAATATCTACAATCAGAGTTAAGGAATAGGAATCAAAACCCACTGAATGGTTTGCCAGCATGTGAAGCAAAACAAAAAATATGAACAAAAATAATGGCAAACTTGTTTTTACTTCCGACAAACACTAAAATAAAATTGAGTGTTCTCATAATCGAAAACTGGCAAATAAATACATATTTAATATCGCCATTGAAGGGATGACTTGAGGGCTTTGAGGTTATTTAAAGGATACCTGTTAGTAACGACACTTATCGCAAACTGCCTGAAGGGACTGAGAGGTCCCAACAGACCTAACGAGGCTGCCTTGTTGAATCTGTACACGTGATCAGCACGAGAAGCCCCACGACGGCGAAGGACAAGATAAGTGTGATTGCAAGGGATCTGCGGAAAGAAAAGAAATATGAAATGAAGTAGGCTCCCTACCTCTCAAAATTGCGATTCTATGACAATGCGGTTTCGAGAAGCACTGGTGCACTCTTGGCACGACATGCATTCCATGCCGATAAAATCTTCAGACGAAGTGCGGAATAAATGAGAGATGAAAACGGTTAGTCTCGAAAATAAAGATAGAATGTCTTGCCTGCCAAACCTGAGTCTAAGAGATAATTTTAAACCGGGAAGGTCCAAGGGCACACGTTCCCTGCGGGTAAAGCGAGCGGAAATTCGTCATATCTTCCTTGGGCTCGGCGATTGAGATTTCCCAGAGGCTTCATGTTTGACTATCTGAAGTACGTTGATTTTCAAAGCCATTCTTATCAAAGATAATCATTCTCGTACATTAATGAACTGATGTCCAAAGAGTAATCCATAAAAACAGGAGAAGATCAATTTAAGTACGCTGATATTCTCATAAATAGAAACTAGCCTAAATTGTCTACACAGAAGGCCGGCAGTACAAATGCCAAAAGTTCTTGCGGGCAGAATAGGTTTTTTTTTTTATTTTTTTACGTTCACATAATTATTATCTTAGCAGTTACACGTTGACTTACCCTTCCATTGCTGGCGTCATAATCCTTCAGCGGCTTCCCAATAAAAAACGAAGGGGCCCGAGCCACGCTAGTACTTTCAGGACCTTCATCTATGATCACACCTGGGTCCTCAGTCTCAGTCTCCATTTCCTCTTCCTTAGAACTTGAATCAAACTTAACCCTTTTTGTTGAAGGCCCTTGGCGGTTTGAAGTATTTGTTTGGCCCTTTTTATCAATACCCTTTATCGCGGCTCCATTGGGAGTCTTCCCTGCAACTCAATCATTGACAAGTAGACTAAGATCACCCTTAGAGGCGTTTTTCATTCGACCAAAAATTCCGGTTTTTATTTCCGGAAATTTTCAGTGGCGAATAAAAAATAACAGCATTTTTCACAATTTTCGGAAAAGAAGACAACCCCCTTGGGTTATACGCAAATTTCTGAAAATTTCTTCCCGGGAATTTCTGTTCCATAGAACTTTTATTCTAGAGCTTCCGGAATTTTTGGTTGAATTGTTTGCATTTCGGAAATTTAACAATATTCAGATTTTCCGGAAACTTTGCAAGGAAATTTCTGAACCATCTGCTTCCCGTTTCAAAAATTCCGAAATTTTTCGGTTGAATGAAAAGCGCCCCTAGAAACGTAAGCATTTTAAATATCAGATACGACTTTTATTACCCAAAACGATTTTTAAAATCTTAAGAATAAATTGACTTCCTTTGTTCGCATGATGACGCACGCAGTGAGAATCAGCGGGCACATAAACATTACAACCCAACAAGCAAATAATAGCTTTAATATGAATTAATTATACGCTACTTTGTAATGTATTCAAGCAGGATTTAAGATTGCATCATGCAGAATTGAAGCAAAGAGAATTCTACTTCATAGTTCCGAAGACTTACAAAGCATTACAAAATTGTTTTCAATAATTCCTCCTTTGCGATTCGACTAACATGAGTTCCAACGCTAAGAAAGTAGTTATCTGCACGAGACATAACACTAACGGATCCTTTTAGGGGGGCGACAATAATGGCAATAAACGATTAGAGGAAATCGCGATAACGATGACACTGACCACAGTTGCCGATTATAAACAGGAAGAGTTCAACACGAGTTTTAAGTACTGAAAGAATGTACCGACTAAATGTGTAAAGGAAACTAACTCGTATCGTTTGGTACATATTTTTGAACTAAAAACCATGATTGAGGTTCTAACCAACCAGAAAAACCGACACAACTATAAGCCTGTCATAGCAGAAAAGTCGCCTTCAAAGTCAGAAGAACTCTGCCAAATGGAATAATAATAACAAAAACTTTAAGTAAGGTTGACAAGTCGACACAACATAGTAGCTAAGCAGCTGTGTCGTTTTCGCTTGTAATAACATTCATGCGATGTAGTCGCTACTGAGTTCAATCGTGTAGAACCAATTTCTTTTTACCGAAATAAAAATTGATGACTTTAAAATGCAAAACAAACTGACGGGTAAGCAGTATTTCATTTTGGAGGTTAGACAAGGAAATAAATCAGCTTTGTTGCTGAGGATAAACGTTGAGTTAATGTAAAAGAGAAAGTACAAGAAAACATATCAAGACAACAAAAGTTTAGCAGGAGGACTTAAAAGATAAAAAATCCGCAGAAAAATCTTTTGCGAGAGAAAATATAAGGTGTAAATGGGTTTTCTTTGATCGCGATATTCTTACGACATGTGCTGCAAATATTAACATAACATATAGGATATATAAAAACTTCTACATAAAGGACAAGTTCGTGATTTTTATACTCGTTATTTGGTGCTAATTCGGACGAGCAGATTACTATAGCATTACGAAAATGACTTTAATAAAAACGCTTGTTAAGCGTTTTGATATAGAACAGCGTTCAAATTCATAACGGGGAATTATCCAAGGTGAAAGATAAGAGCATTGAAAAGAAGTATTTTCTCAGGGAGTTAACCTGATATTTGACGAAACATCTTGTCGCTGTTTGTATCCGTGCATGGGTTTTAGTCTTACACCGGAGCACGCTATATATTTGCGGTCTTTTGTTTCCAAATATTAAAATTTCATGAGAAAAACATCAATATACTAAAATTTCCCACCTGCTGATAAAACCTCTTCCCATTTTCCGCGTCTTGTTGGAGCCTTCGTGTACGGGAAGCAGTGTTTGGAAGCAGCGAGCATTTTCAAACAACTATTGCAATTCATAAGTTTCAATTCAGTCTGGAGACCTTAAGTGACTGGTCAGTGTCATTTGGCAAAATTTCCTTGTACGTGAGACTTTCACGGCACAATAATCATAACTTATTTATTCGGTTTTCGGGCGATGATATCGAATGATTGTTATAGCATTGTGTTCCCGGTTTGTGAAATATCAATAGAAGTGTAGACTATACGCCAAGAGAAAGGATTTTCTTTTGATTCGCACGCATATGACTCCAAACTGAAGTTTGATTGTTTTTAGCTGTCAAGTGCCCGCCTCTATAGGCGGTAAATAAATTGCTTTTCGATACTCATAATTTTTCGTTTACCTAAGGTTTGAGTGCCTTAAATTGACATATTTATGCTAAAATGCGACTTCATCGTTAGAATAAATCGAACACCAACGATAAAAAAACGGACCGTTCTTCCACCTAGATAACAGGAATATCCAATTGGAACCTAAACTAATAATACCTTTAGTCCTTTCATTCTAAGCTCGCGAAAGAGTAAATTTATTTTGAGCGACTCTGCAATCGAAAGCCAATACAGTTTAATCAGCTTCACAAACTAGGGCGAGCCTACCGATTACAGGCGCGAAGAAATATATAATTGTTTGTTCTACGCACCACTGGTGTAGAAAAGAAATCTGTTTCTTTATATTTGACGCTTAAGAAACCTAAACACAAGAATACCACCAACCTATGAGGGAGCTTTTCACGAACATGATGGCGTCGAGAAACAAGTTCCAAGACTGCAGTCCTTCTGGAGTTGTTTTTTTTTTTTAGTCCAAGTGATTTCACATTCTTGGCGAGTTACAAAATGTGAAGTGATTACTGCCAGGAGATTGTTGTATTTCTTCAGACCTCCTACTAGCTCGTGGGCTCATAACTTATTGATTTTAAACATGATGTCTGGTGGCAAATCAACTCATTACACACCAATGCTATCCTTAGGGCCCTCCCCTTCGTTTTAACAATACGGAAAAAACAAAAAAAAAAACTAATGGGGCCCGCAAAGGCGTTTAATATTCATCAAACATGAACCCAAAATTGAGGCAATTCTTACCAAGACTAAGATCTTAAACTGTTCTAAATTTGTGTGCAATCGTTTCTTTTCTATTTTTTCGCCGATATTATATTAGATGGTGTTAAACCAGCATCACTAAATAAGATAGTATGTGAAGATAACGCGACCAGGAAGTTGTATGACAGTACAGCGAGGGCTTCTGCAATTTTAGCGACTACGGAAAGAAGCGAAGCGCAAGCTAAAAGAGCTTGGAATAGGCGAGAATTGACATCAGTTTCAGTTTAACAGGGACTAAAACTCTTGTTGTTTATCGTGAAGGTTTGACCAGGTTTAAATCTGATGAGAGCCCACGAGAGTCCGAGTAGGAGTGCATCAGAATTAGTGGCCATCATGACCGAAAAGCGAGATAGTTACTCTGTTGACAACTCTCACAGACTCACAGACTGATAAACAAGGTTCGGATGTACTGGTTTTCACAGTGTTTGCTTCTGACCATGCTTGGTGGTAGAAGTGGACTAGTTTGCTAGTTCACGATTTCCTTAATTAATCTTCCTCATGTTTTTCAGTGTTAAACAATATACTTCTAACTTAACGGTCAAATACGACGTTGATCACTAAAAAGAAATACACGCAAAGGTTGAATGAAAGAGAAAGACAAAACAAAACAAAACAAAACAAAAAAAGCAAAACAAAACAAGAACAAACAGTAACCGACTTTCAAATAAGGTTATAATAATCTGAAAAAATTGCAAAAAATATATATTTTTTGTCACGCTATGTGAAGTGCATAGGAAGCTCAGTTATAAAAATGAAAAAAAAAAAAAGTTAAAAAAGCGTAGTACATCTATAATGGTTTTTGCTCATATAGTTTTGTGGAAGCCAACCAGCGATCAAAAAAAAAAAAACTTCTTCAGCCGAGGCCAGGTATTGATACTCGGTAATTATCTGCTACAATTTATTTGACTCTCTCAACACTTAGCACAGCAGTGTTATGTTAAATTTTCTTGAACATTATTCTGGTTGCTTTACGTAGACTGGTGGAAATTGGCACACAAAGGTTACTGCATCCATCCTCTAAACCCAGTAACAATTACTCGAGTTCCAAACGAACCGTATTTTGCTGTTTCGTGGACCGATTATCCATCCCAATTATCACTGACCAAGATCTTTTCTCAGGAGGCGGAAAACCTTTTCAAAATTAAAGCATAAGGGATTTTTTAGGGTGGTTGTTGTTCACCGTGAGGTAGATGCAGTTTAAGGTGGGTGCAAAGTTACAAAATCTTGAACTGTTGTTAGTCATTAATCTTATAAGCGTTTATGCACTTCTGCCTTGTTTTCATGAACGCGATAAGCTAAAAAAAAAACTCTGTATTGTGTAAAACTAATATTAAAAAAGCTGTTCATCGCTTAGGTCTCCCTACTTGCCGTGCTTACGTAACTTTGGCATAACAGCGTTAAAGGTGCTATGAGCTATCTCCGATGAACTGCTTTGATTTCACCCAAACGTAAAATAATTATTTCGTAGAGTTTATTATAAAACATGTTGTTTCTTTTATCAACAGTCTACTACCTTACTTGTATGCCTAAGTATGATTGGTTGGTTAGCTAGCAAGCTAGACCACCAGATATCATTGGTTTTTTATGACATCGTGTCCTGCCATCAGTGCGGTTACCCGTGATTTTATTTCCCGCCATTTGTGGCTCCGGATGACCTATCTTTCTAGCATTTGTGGTTACACACGAGCCACATTTAGACCATTTGTGGTTCACGTGTCTTTAACCGCAACATCGCAGGTGTGAAGCTTATGAACATTTGTAAAATGAGGAAGATGATAATTTACGCTTTGAAAAAACTACCTTCGCGTCTAATAATACATCGAAGATAATATTTAAGTTCAGTAAAAATTATTAAGGTTTAATGAAGAAATCTGAATGATGTTACTGTATGGCGGAAGTGTACAATGGCCTTTTAGTTATTAACATTTTCTATACCTTTATTTCTGAAATTTAATGCCAATTTTGGCAGGATTTCTGGTGAAAACGTAGCATACAAAACGTTTGACTGGCTTTTCAGCTCGATTACATCTCTTCCCATTTGGCAGATTAAGACTCGTTTGCATGGTATCTAACATGCAATTCATACCACACTTTGCGCTAGGTTTGGAACATGGCGAAGAAAAACCTCTGAAAGGATATATTCCACTTCAGCGATAGACATCAATCCCTTAAATTGCTGATAAGAAACCATTATACTGTATTTCTATTAGAAAACACCCTGTAAAAAGAGTTCTCTCAACCACCACTCGTGTTTAGGCTGGATAGTTACACGGAATATGTTTTCAATTTCTTAAATAACGTACGTTCAGGAAGTTCGGGTTCTTTGTTGACATAAAAGAATACAGAAACATCACGCAATCAAATTCGAGATAGCATCTCTGATCTGCGTAATTGGTTTATTAGCTAAGGGATAAGAAAGAACACGAATTCGCAGGTCGTATCAGCTATTCCGTCAAATCTAAGGCCGGAAATAGTAAAAACTCTGTTGCTGTTGTAATTCATCTATCAAGTAAGTGGGCGATGTAAATGAGTTAACTTGATGGTGTAGCAAACTTTAATTATTATTATTACTTCCTATTATTTCGAAATTCTTCGCTAAATTTTATCCGTGGATTTAACCCTGGTGTGTGGCCATTTAAAACTGTATTTAGCAGAATTTTCATCAACTGCTCCTATGCTATATAAGGAGTTTTTAACTTTCGAGTCTGCTAATGAAACCATCTTTCATTCTATAGAAGCTATGGAACAGTACTCTTCTTTTTCTTTGGTTCTTTCTTCTTCCCATTACATCGTATACGTAATTTATAAATAAAAACCAAAACGATTGGTCGGCCAGGAAATCGTGTGCAAGCTCAATTGAGTTTACTTTTTTACCGAAGATCCCCGTTATTTATACTAATTAAGGTGCGTAGGAGGCATAATTAAGATATTGATGTATATTCTAGAATTATTTTTTGCTTCATTAATTCTATATTTCGTGTTGTTTAACCCAATCAGACACCAGGCAATTCCAATAAACTTCATGTTCAACATTCACTCATTGTCTACCGTTTTTCAAGATATATATGTATCGTGGAAACGAGATAGATGAGGTATAGGAAATATTCTAAATCCGCTGGTTGAAAATTCCGCAGTCAAAACTTATTTCGTAGCAAGCCAAAACTCGGTCAAAAGTCTTCCGATCAACTTCGGAACTCTTGGCAAGTCTTCGGATCATCTTCGAAAATCTTCGCAATCGGCTTCAACTCAACTTCGAAAATCTCCCGACGCGCATCTTCAAATCGACTCCGAAAGACTTTAGCAAAACTCAGGTACATCAATTTTTGATACCAGAAAATGCGAGCTCATGTTGTGTCCTTTGGCAACATACTTGTGATACTGTTTTAGACCTAGAATGAACTCAGTGCAGCCACTTGCCATCCGATAATACTAATCGCGTCATACTACAGAAAAAAAAAAAAACAAAAAACAAAAAAAAAACAGTTGTTTAGTCCTGCATACGAGCCAATTGGCCCATCAGGCCAGTGCTATCACCGGTTTCTGTAGCATGAAGCGACTAGGAGTATTTCTACTCCCCCCTGGATGAGATGAGAAGTCCATCGCAGGGTTACCTGAAGCATTAAATTCGCCGGTACCCATTTATACACCTGGGTGGAGATAGGCATTGTGAGAGTAAAGTGTCTTGCCAAAGAACATAACACAATGTCCGCAGCCAGGGCTCGAACCCAGACCGCTTGCTCCGGAGCGCACTAACAATGAGGCCACCTCGCCTCCAGAAATCCGGGGTTAATTGTGTACCTTCAGTAGATAAAATGACTACCTTAATAAAATGACGTAATTATAAACATATATACTAAATAAAAAGGACGGTATTTTTTGCCAGAGATTGAAAATTACTTGTGATAAAAAAGGAGCTTCGCCACAAAAATGTTCACATCGACATGCATGTCGGGGCTCTTAGTCGAGGAAATACGGTAGCTTGTTTATTGATATGAATTGTGTACTTAGTTTGACAGGTAAGAACAAGAAAAGAACGCTTTGACTTGCAGGTGAATTATCAAGAGTTATTAACCAGTCGGATACGTGGAAACGCCAATAAACGACCCAATGATCTAATGGACTTGTAATGCATGTCGCTGTTCACTGTAACGAGTCTTCGACGCCCAAAGTCTCGAGGAGCCGATCAATATTTAATGCACTAAATGATAACATGCGATAAACACCACACAACGAAAACAAAGTCCGATTTTCACGTGGTGATCTCTTTCACACTAACATTGATTTCAGCGACGTTTTTCTTTCAAACTGAAAGTTGATTCCCAGGTGATTTGCAAATTGGAGTGCTGAATTGTTCGTGCAAATAGGAACAAAATAACACCAATTTTCGGCGCCCTTGTAGCGCGAACTATCATTGGCTAGGGATTTTTGTCTATAACCTGGGCAACTCTTTTCTAAACCGCAAATAATATTCCGAGTCAACACCTAGTGATGAAATCTATTTTAGCGGCCACGGGGTAATCCCAATATGAATTAAAAAGCTGTCATGATATTCATTTTCCTCAAACAGTGATGAAGGTAACATGTCTTTGAATCCAAGAGGAATGGATTCATGATCTTCACATTTGACCTGTGGATCCGAGGAATTCCTTCAGGTATCGTCAATATGACTGAATTCGTTTATCTAACTTCTGTTATTGGTAGCCTAACAAAGCGGCGGACAGCTTAGGCATTCAGCCAAATGTAAGTGCATGTTATTCGAAATGATCATGGCTTCCAGTTACAAGACCAAAGAAACCATGTCTCACTGCAATGGGAGACCTAAAGAAGAGCATCTTACGTGGTGCAGGGAATCTTTTTCACAAAACCGGTCAAATGTCACTATTTTGCGCAGTTTGAAAAAATATGCTTGTAGTTTTTTTAGTGTCAAATATACTTCACTCGCCTATGTGTCGCTTCGTGACCGAAATTTACTGATTTTTAAGCCGAATGCAAAGGATAATTTTACGAATGAAACATTTCTGTTAGGCCGTCCGAACAGCGTTTTTAAAGAGATTCGAAAATGAAATTTAAGAATATTGATGTTTAAGATCAAACACGAGATTTCCGAATACTGTAACCGCGTTTTGTAATCGCGTGGCACTTAAACATTATTCCCCTCTAACGAAGTTATTTTCGCGAGATGGATCGCATCTTAAGGAGAGTGATTTGAAAGTTTCGGCCTTGGCAATCTTAATTGTGTTAATCAACCACTAATTGGAATCTTTTACTGATTAATATGTGTCGGTTGTAAGATTTTTTGTTCCCTACATGAGTGATCCTTCCAAATAAAATCGAGTTTTAATCATTTCTAGCCTATCAGGGATGGTTTCATTGACTTTTTTCAAATAAATGACTTTTCGAAAGAAAAACAACAAAACCAAACAATTTTCTTGTTTAAATGTCTCCTCCTTCCACTCTTCCACAGAACAAAGTTGATTAAATAGTTATGCGAAACCATCGACATTACCCCGGACCAAGTTGGAATTGTTTCGTCAGCTTTGTTCCGGGAGAAAAAAGTGTTTCGATATAAGACCACATTAAAGTAAAGTAAGGCACCTTTTTTTTCAGGCAAAAAGAAAAAACTTAAAAGCCTTGGAAATAAACAATTTACTGTACTTTTCGTTTCACA